GTACTCACATATTTGATGTCAGGACAAGGGTGAACAGTGATGATATCGCCGTGCTTGACTCTGAGGTTGTGGCGAACCACTCTGTTGATACGAGCACTTCCATCGTCGAGGTCGTCATCGGCTAGGACAATCAAGACGGTGTCCTTTCGTTTCTTTCCTCGGACCAAGACTGTATCGCCTCGGAACAGTTGTAACGTCTCCATGGTGTTGTTTGAGAGAGCAATGATGGAGTTATCATCGTTCGTAGCATCGGTCACACTGCGTCATTTGTCAGCCGGTCTGCACCAAGTCGTTGCCAGTGTTCAACATACATCAATGAATTTGGCTTCTTCTTCTTTTTCAGGATGGCTGTGGCCGTATCAAGTTCCTGGATAGCTCTGTCAGTCTGGGATTCGTCACCGTAGAGGTTGCCGGGAGAAATCCGTACCTCTTTCTTCTCTGCGCCCGAAGCATCACTGTAGCTTGAGTTAGCAGCGCATCTTGCGGTTTCGAGGAAGGTGACACATACTGTAGGTTGACCTTCTTCTTGTCATGGGCGTGATCAGGTTCTGCAGACATCTTGATGTCCTTGAGATATCAAAAACGGTCTGAGAAGGAGATTGCGGAGGTTTGTTGATGTGGTTTCTAGGAGACCAGAGACAAGAGCGCTGGTCTTCGCAACGATAGTTTTCGGGACGATAGAAAAAGGATGGAATGAGTTCAAGGAGCTCCTTATAAGAAGAACCTTGAGAGGAGCAGAAAGGAGATGGTAACAAAAGGGTGAGAGTGAGCAAAGCGTTTGTTGAAAGTGATGAGTTGAACCTCTGGAGGACTTGAAGCGCAGGAGAAAGCCCCGTCTTGGCGTGTTCGAATGACGGTCATTTGAGCCCAACCAACATACGTTGCCTCTGGCAGCCTACGAAAGAGAAGACGGTCGAATCTTCTGATACCGCCCAACGATTGCCTTGCCACGAGTTTTACATGCACTTGAAATAGGCATCAAACACTTGCTTGATAGCACGCTAAGGTTTAATCCTTCAGGTCTTGACTTAATGCCTTTCTCTTCCCATTCCGTTCGTGTACTTGTACAAGTATTGCTCTAGATCTGCCTTCCAGGTGGCGAGGCTGAATCTGAGCCTTGCCACGAGGGGGCGTAATGCCAGATTGCGTACTGAGAGTCATCCGGCTCTAAGACCCGCAGCTCTTACGGATGTCTCTGTATCCCTCCTGCAGTCCATACCACATGTCTGACATTTTCGCCTCTCATGACGAATAATAGGAAGAAAGCCATTCATGATGATCAATCAATTCACTTCCTTATACAACCATGAATCGCCCACAACAAGCCCACGGGAACAAGCCCTCTGATTCGTAGCGTACCTTGCGTACTTCCGCTCCGCCAACCCATGTCCGCCCGCACCTCCAATTTTCAAAGTGCGGAGCGGAACATTCTCAAGAATCAAGTCCGCCTCCTTGTAGACAGCTACAGGCCACTCACACTTTCCTTTCAAGTAGTGCTGCTGGACAGCCCTGGGAGGACGGTAACTCCTACTACCCAGATCGACCAGCGGCGTACGGCCAGGTGTGCCAGACTATCGATCTCGAAAATTAATGCAACTGAGCCCCTCTCTACCACGAAAACACATTTAGAGCCCACATTATCTCGACGCGCACGCACATTCACCTTCTGGCCTTGACATAGCGAGATAGCCACAAAATGTCGACCTCAGGACCATCAGCTGACAACGCGGCTACAATCTCCATCCCTTCTTCCCTCACCAGCTCCTCGACCTCCTTACCACCCGCGACCTCTCAAGCTCTCATTCAACACCTCCGACAGACGGGCGCTATACCCGACCTCAGCGCCCTCCTAGCAGATAGCCTCGCCCGGACGGGCTGGACAGACCGCGTCCGCGCATTGGCGCTCGAGTTACTCAGGAATGGCTCATGCGACACTTTCCCAGAGCTGATGAGCGAAGTTATGCGACGGGCGAAGATGCCCAAGGACGGCAAGAACCAGGCCGGGGATAAGGAAAGCAAAGATGCCAAGACAAATGGCACGAGTACACCTACGACGACGACAACAACTGGACCTGGAGCTGGAGGCGCAGCTGCTGCGGCAACCTTGAATGGCGGAGGGGTGAACAACAACGCCATTGCACTGTCAAAAGAATGGTCGGGCGGCCCAGATGGACTACCAGATGTAAGGATCCCGGAGGTCACCGTTGAGCTGGGAGTGGAATTTCTGAAAGAAAAAATCAAGGATGTTGTCGAGCCGATCAACGACGACAGTGACTGACAAGGTCTCTGCTTGTAATCGAGGCGATGGCTTGGGATATTCGTGTACCATATGGCATAGCGAACGGCGTTGGACGTGGAAGAGATAGTGGAAGGACCTCGGTACAGGACATTAAATGCCTTGCTCTACATGGAGTCGTAGGTGGTTCTCGAGCGACTGGTTGTGCTTGTTAAGCATCGTAGCATGAATGGAAACAACCTGTCTCTTCAGATTCAAAACAAAGACGCTTTTGAAAGCCTCGCTAAAGCCGACATATCTAAATGAAAGAGCCGACGAGATCATAAAACTCCGCCTGGCAACGTCTGCGCAGGCGGCATTGCCCTGACGCTGGGTGCACCTCCAGAAACGACTCCTGTGGTAGCAGTCCCTAAACTGCTGCTACCTATACCTCCCAGTGGTGGCTTCATTCCCACACCTGCTGTTGGTGGCACGTCGCCGACCATCACATTCCCCAACTTTCTCAACATAAACATCGGCTTCTTCCCCTCTCTGTCCAAATCCTTAAACAAAGCGAGGGGCTTCTCTTCCAGTCCCACACACCTCTCCTGGTCGCCATACACGATATAAAGTGCATATTGTCGCCAATCGGCCTGGATATTGTATTTTCGGAGAGCGGCTGGGAGAACTTTGTAGCACGGATCTTCTAGCCCCACGCGGAAAGACTTGAAGATTTCCACGGAAGGAGCGTCGCCTCCGCTGCCACTATCTTTGTTGCCATGCGGGGTATGGCCCACACCGGCGCTCGAGGGGAGCTGGGGTGGGACCGAGGCGGATTGTTCTCTCGAGGGGATGAGGGTAGAAGCATTAGAGATTGTACTGTTTGAAGGGTTGAGTTTGCCAGAGGCCGATTTCGCAGAAGTGGGAGGGTCACGGTCGCGTTCGATAGTAACTTGCCGGTCGTCGACACCGTCGTAGCGAGGGACAGCACTGCTAACGGTTCCTCCTTCACGTTGGTAGGAGCGAGGAGCGAGTGGTTGATGTTGGTAGGGGAGCGGTGAGGTCGGGGAAGGGACTCCTGGAGAAGGATGAGGGTGTTGCCCTAACACGCCACCTGACATTTGTGCGGTTAGCGAGTTTGAGGCTAGACTTGCTGCTGCCGAAGGGTCCAGCGAGTTGCTTTCGGCGAAAGTCCTACCCTCATGGATTGTACTGGGTATATGTGTTGGAGAGTTGTTCTTGGGGGTAGAGCTGAGGCCCAGCTTCTTCGAGAATGTGCGTGTAAGGCTCGTCTTTTCGGGCACCGGCTGCGTCGCTGGGGGAGGGGAAATGACATCTTGCTGGTACACCTCTGGGCTGATGGTATTGCCTTGATAAGGGGCATAGGGAAGAGGTTCGGATCGTTCTTTGGCCATCTTGAAAACCGGTAGTAGCTCCTGGCGCAACTTGCGGTAGTCATCTGCAAGCCTCGTCAACTGCGCCTCCGCCTGGGCGATTCGCTCGTCCCGTAACCGGAGGATTGATCTCGCGAGTCGATCGATATCTTCCTTGGTTGCCATTTCATACTGTGGGTTTTGCTCGGCCGCTAAAAAGGGAATCAGCGATATAACATTGGCCAACGGTAAGGCGATAGCCTACTAGGCGGGACATAGTCATCTGGTTCGATAGGTATGTCCTGGTTGACCTTTAAATCGTAAACGTTCTTGAGTATGGTCAACCGGTGTCCCACACTAGCGATTCCCATCTCTTTGAGTTCGTCATGTTTAAGTGCAACAAGTGCTTCTCCTTCAATGCCATGTTCTGGGAACAGTCAGTCCTGCGGACATCCCCCACCGTTGCTGCTTGCAAGGCTGCTTACCGATAAAAGCATGGCAATATTGTCTCAGATTCAAACTAGACACAAACTGAGCGCACTCTTCTGGTGTCCATTCTGTTATTATCGTCCTGGGCAGGCTTGGATCTTCTCCCGAGTTGTCAAAGGTCGTGGGGGTATGTTCGTTAGAGGCCGGCTCGGAAGAGGTCTCTGAATCGGTGTGTAGCTGAGTGGGAGAAGTCATGACGCTTCGCTCGTATTCATCATCGGCGTCAGAGTCGGCGTGATATGTAGTTCCGCTGGGAAAGGCCATGGTGATAGCGTCCAAGAACCAACTGCCTTTTTGGCGCTCGGATCAGGTTTAGGTTTCAGTCCTCACACCCCAGCCACATGGAGGCTTGGGGGCAGGGTAGAGACTCGGCCGGCGATATGATGAGGATTTGCTCGGTAGCTTTTCTGATTGCAGACTCAAAGGTTTGCCGCTATTGGGACCGTTGAAGAATCTTCCGTCGTTCCAATGCGAAGGAGACAGTCCAGAGGAGGCTCTCAGCGCAGGGTCTTTCAAAAGGGGGGTGTCCCTCTGGTCCTCGGATTTCTGGTCTAACGGCCGAGGCTGCCTAGTTGCGCACTATGCGAGGAAGAAACGTCTAAGCAGAAATATCTCGTCGTCGGTACGAGTGCTCAATTTGAAGGAAGACTGCGTTAGGAGAGGTTCGAGGGGGGCATGGGATCGCAGCATGCGCATCTATGGGGCTGCGATGGGGCTGGAACGAGGCTAGGCCCGTCAATAGTCAGTGGCCAATGGCACGCCGAATCCGCTGCATACGCTTTTGTCCCATTTCGGCCATCTGATATCTCGCTTCTACTACAGTCCAGCCTGAAATGGCCAGAAGGTTTACGGAGTATAAGACATGATTATCCAGAGTCCTCGGATCCGCCATCACATTTTCAAAGCTCTACCGAGTACCTATCTCACAAAGCCAGTCGCTCAAACGAGTACCGGCCTTTATTTTTCCTCTCGAGCATCTTTTTCTGCCTGACGGTCCGATGTTTTAATTGGCCACCACCATTCCTGATCTTCACTGCGCTGACTACATTCTCGACCTTCAGGCTCAGCGGGAGACCTGGACCAGGTTGCAGGTCTTCTTCCCCCTCGGCAGTCTCCGAGTACAGCGTCACGATGGCTCCCGGACGCTGATTAGGGGCTGGTAATCCAGTTCCATAGAAAGGCACACGGGCGCCGGCAGCTTGTTGCTTTCGCATAGATTCCTGGTATCTCAACGTCTCGCGGAGAATCCCTTGCAACTCCGCCACGTCTTCCAGGCTCTGTCTGGCATGTGTAATCTCCGTCACCAAGTCGGGTATAATATTGCCCATAAAATCTTCGTGATCTAGAGTCTCAAAGAAGCCGAGAGGTCCAATGGTGTCGACGCAGGCTGACAATATCTTGATACTAGCAGTGAGCTTGACAGTTGGTAGAGAGTCGGCGTTCACACTCAAGTTTTGAAAGGAGCGCGTGTGACCGCCTTGGAAGAGTTGCTGCCGTAAGAACTGAATGAGAGCCAGCGCTTCGGTGTGGGAGAGCAAAGCTTTTAAGTTGACGGAAATAACTGAAGCCGCAGCAACGCCGAGTCTATCCAGCGCTTCGATTAGCGATCTTTGAAGTTGAGGAGGTAGCCACGGAGTGTCTGTCGCTGATACGGCCAGTGCCTGAACCTGCGGGCCGGCGAGAGGTAAGGGAGTGTCAGTCTCCACCGGGTCTGTTCGGCGGTCTGCGTCAGGAACCGCGGCCCCAGACGACGTAGCCAGAGCCTGTTGGATGAGAAGCTGAACTATCGCCGCTTGCTCCTCCACATATGGACTGAACCCACTTTCCAGACACTCTGCCAGCAAGTTATACGACGGATCTGCCTCGAGGAGAGCTCGTGCAACCGCATGTACGCCGACATTCGTCAACCCAGGCCCAGAAGGGGAACTCGAAATTGCAATCCCCAGGTGCTGGGCGGACAGCAACCCTACCCGGCACAACCATAGGATGAGTTTGAATGACGGTATCCGGATCTCCAATCGCGTCTCTGTGGGGTTGGGTGCGTTGTCTTGCGCATTTGACGTCGCGGCTACCTGGAAGATCTTCGACAGAAGATAGTTGATCTTGAAGTCTGGGACCGCCATACGATCCAGAGGCAAGTCCTCACTGGGTCCTCCGCGAGCCGAAGACTGCATGATAGCCTGCCGAATGTCGTTGATGACAGCGTTTTCGAAGCCGGCGACATCGCCAGTCCCAGCGAGCTGGTCAAGGCGTTGTCTGACGGGCTGCCAGCCGACAGGAGACTCCGGAATGATAGTTGCGGAGCCGATCGCAGACAACCGCCCATCGAGAGCACTAGGCAGAGTCTCGTGGTTACTGACACCGCGTCCGACGTTTTGGAGAAGTTTGCTTCCGGTTTCCAGTAGTCGTTTTGATGAGCTACCAGAAATATCTATTGCAAGGAGTTGATGACGCCTCCATCCGATGACACGAGCAGTATGGGGATAGTATGCGACAAATTCGATGGGACCACTCCGATCTTGGACGGCCATTCTCATGCGTTTCCGCTTGAGATTCCCCTTTCTCGCGTCAATTTGAGCCTGAACGGACTGAAATTTGAGGTCATAAAGCTGAACTGACTCATCAAAGGAGCAGATGGCGAACGCGGGAGAAATGGCCATGATTTCGTAAGAGCAGTTCAGACTCGTGTGTAGGGCAGAAGACAATGAAGGTACTAGGCCGGTCAAATCATACGAGTAAAATGATTCTCCGGCACGAAGGAATAGATGCGATGCCCTGAGGTTAAAGGTGTAAGATCGATCCTTCGGCGAAAGTGACTTGGAGTTGTTTCCTCCCAACGACAGTTCGTGGTCGAACAATGGATAAATCGATACCCTATGAGCAGCCAGATTTCGATCGATTGTTTCAACTGACCAGACACCGTAGAACACGCTGTTGGGATTAGCCGAATGCTCGGTTTTGCAATATGCGACCGCCAAGTAGGAACCAGCTGGAGCAACCTCGCTGAGCAGATCTGGCCTCTGCTTTAGAACAGTCTTCAGGGCTTCCGAACCAGTAAGATGTTGAACAGCAAGTACTTTGATGTTTGGATGTCGTTTGGAACAAAGAGCGCCCTTGAATAATGTGGCGTTCAATTCTTCAGAGAAACTTGTTAGGGTACCGTTTTGTTGGACCACCAACAGCTCTTTTTCTCGACCTCTAAGCAGAACTTCAAGCAGTACGACAGGGTACTCTTGTTCATCCAATGCTACACTCACACACTGTGAGGCGCGGACTGTGTCATCCCCTGAGCTCTGGAAAGATTCGATGCGTAATGTGTCTCGCTTTGTCGCACAGTATGTCCTTCGACGGATTTGCCCCAGCGATTCTTCGCGAATTGAACATGGTGGGCCAAAATAACGTGTGGTAGGAGGCACGGGATAAGAGGCTAGGATCGTTCCATTTTGGATCTGAACCTCTGTCAGCAGCTTGTTTTGTGCAAGGATACAATGTAATGGTACCTCATACAGCCCGAGGGAGTCTCCATCCACGGCCACGCAAATCTCTTTCCTGCGCTTCTTCAGTCCGTCGCGCACAGCATACACAGTGCCAAAACGAGGGTTGGCGTCATGCCTAGCAGGACGAGGCAGTCTCGCTAGCACATGGGGTGTTGAGATTTCCATGGCTGGAGCATGAGTACTGTAGTGATGCTAGGTAGAACTTGATGTGCAGACAAAAAGTTTTGAGATGGTCTCCACAAAATTTTTGCGGAGGGCGGCGAGGTTCCTCCGTCCAAGTCCCAAATGGTAATAAGTCTCGCTAAGCACTTCCCTAACCAGGGCCTGCTTAGTGGCCGATCTTCCGCCTAAACAAGCCTATCAGCGACTGGAAGGCATTTACAGGTGCACCCCCCATTTCTGGGCATGGGAATCGCGTCACGGACGCGCTTCCGGTAATCGAGTTATACATCATGACCACGCGCACCTCGATCCTATACCATCTCTCAGTTGTCTTAGGGGGGAGCTGGCCACGGCTCATTGATTCATCGACGACGAATTCATCGGTCCATTCACTAGTCTGAGCGGAATCTAGACTTCATGACACCACCGTCTTCCAAAAGTTGACTTGTAGGTCAATGGCAACTCTGCTTGACTATGGCGCTGGCCCAGAACATCGATCCCATATGCATCCGTTCTTTAGGAAAGGTACGCGATCATATCCTTCCGGGGATTCCACATGCTGATGCTGTTTATAGCCGCCGCACCCAACGATTCCTCATCTCAATGCCCTCTCCCCAGAATTCGAGGGTTGGATGGCGCAGTCGAAGATGGACCCCCCAACAACAATGAAGAGCAGAATTGTAATCCCAGCAATGTTATACGCACAGAGGCAACAGAGGCTGCCCCTAGTGGAACATGGTGTGTGGAAGAGGGAGACGACCTTGAACACGAAAACACTAGAATAAAAAGACGAAGAGTGTCTGCCAGCTCTGTGCATCCACTCACCGAGACAACAGAGACTTCACACACAAACCAGATGACGTGGCAGGACCAGCTCCAGGCTGCAGCACAGACATGTGATGATATCGAACCACCTCACGATTGTGCTGAGGATCAGACAGTTGCTGATCGACCTTTCTTGAGCGACAATGGAAGTAGAATTCAGTTATCTCAAGCGACATTGTCCGCAGAGGGTTGTATCACATCACAAAGGACGACTCCTGACGGTCGACATTCTCCTAATTCTTCTTCAAACCCAGCTGAAATCGACCTCACAAAATCCCCTGATCGTCACCATCGACCCCCTGATAACACAATGGACGACCCCTCAACCAAGGAGAGCGAACGCGGCTCTACTCAAAGGAACAAGATGATGCGAAGTGGTCACGGAAAGCTCATCTTCTCGCCGAAGAAATCGCCTAAGCGTGCGTCACGGAGTATTACGACCGACACAGGTGGGGAGAGCGGTGACGCAAAAAAGACTGCCCGTCGATCTAAGAAACTGGAAATGAAGAAGGGAAAATTGGTCTCCTCACTGCGCGTTACGTTGTCATATTCGGCCCCGGACTCCGGTTCTAAGATCAACGACATCTTGTCCCACAACTCTGAAAAGAGCCGCATTCAAGGCCCGCAAGCTCAGGGAAAGCTAGCACCCCACCACCCTGTCGTGAGTAAGGCAACGCACCCATTTTTTCTGGGAAGACTGTCAGGCAATAGTCAAAAGCAGTCTGACCTCAAAAGCGAGACATCCTCTGTTGCAAACCCCTCGGAAGACGAGACTACCTCAAGGTCGAAGGCACCAAAGCCTTGGAAAGACATTATCTTCGAATCGAGGAGGACAGTTCACAACAAAAATGCGCCGGTGCTCTTACCTGTTTGGCCTCCGACCAACATCCAACACGTACTACCAAGTCATGCTCCACGTGGTGCAGGCACGGTTTGGACTCTCTCTCTGTCGCGGCCCAAGTTCAAACAACATTCTTTGCGTGTCAATGCGGACGAAGACATCCTTTGGAATTTTTCAAGGCGCTTGAAGCAGAATGTCAACGGTAGGCCCATTCACATACCTGAGCGAAAGATCATGGGTAGCAAAGAACTCGTTAGACTCACTGAAACGCTCTATGGGATCGACCACCAATCAAAACATCAATCGGCCTCAATTTCCCGGCTAGGAGCAGTGGTTGAATCGACGCGCAGTTCTTTTGACAGGGGCATGGCCGCGGGACCCCAGCTTTGGTGCCATGAATATGCACCGAATTGTTGGCAAGAGGTCTTAGAACCACAAGGAAAAGCTCTACATGATTGGCTGAGTAATCTGAGAGTGCACCAAGTTCAGACTGGCAAATTACAACCAAAGGCGAAACCTCTGACTCCCAAGAAGCGTCGCAAGAGGAAGTCGGAAGGGATGGACGACTTCATTGCATATTCAGACGACGAGGATACCCGTTCGATCGCGAATGGAAAGAATGCGATCCTCCTCACAGGCCCTCCAGGCTCTGGAAAAACTGCTTCAGTTTTTGCCGTGGCACAACAACTTGGGTTCGAGGTATTTGAGATCCATCCTGGTATGCGACGAAGTGCAAAGGACATCCAAGACAAGGTAGGGGATATGACACAAAACCACTTGGTTCAACACCAAGACACGTCCAGCCGAAGGTCAAGTTTGTCGTTGGAGGACAGTGACGCAGTCTTCTCCACCTCTAGGCCTTTGACGGACAGCCAGGATTCCACAGCAGATACTATGGGTCGCAGAAAGGGTGGCAGACAGTCCAAAATTGGCGAAGTAAAAGAGACCAAAGAAACTAAGTCCAAGTCGCAGAAACAATCTCTCGTCTTGTTTGAAGAGGTCGACATTCTGTATGAAGAAGATAAAGCCTTTTGGAGTGGCGTTCAATCACTTATCCGGACCTCCAAGCGACCTGTCATCCTCACATGCAACAGTGTCGATTCCGTGCCCATGGCCGAATTAGACCTCTTTGCCGTTTTGCGATATGACATTCCCCAACAGGATTTGGCTGTACAGCTTCTGGGATCAATATGTGCGGCTGAAGGACATCTTCTGAGCAAAGAAGTCTTGCAGAACCTCTATCTTACCAAAGGTCAAGATCTCCGTGCGTCAATCATGGAACTCAATCTCTGGTGCCAAATGACGGTCGGATCTCAACAGGGAGGTCTGGATTGGATGCTTCCTTTTAACGGCGAGTCCCAAGTCATGTCAGATGGCTCAGTCACACGAATTGTCAGTCAAGACACTGTCACCAACGGGCTTGATCTCTTGCCAGCCGAATTTGACGACGTTGAAGATCTCATTCGTTTTTCCCAGGACAATCTGGATATTCCGGCACAGGACTGGGTTCGGGACGATACGTGCTCAATCAGCACCGAGGCGAACCATGGCTCAGCGCTGGAGGACTTGCTCACCCTCTATGAGGCGAGAAGCGCAATGGATCTGGTCGATGACACAATAACACCCGTGATAGCAAGCACATTATGGAAATGCTCCAATCCAGCTGCTGCCGCTGTGAGCGACCACACATTCCACAGGAACGAAGTCGTCCGCCTGTACCTCGGTAATCTGAACGAATCAACGACCCTTCAATCATCAATGTGCGCAGCGTTCGAACCTCTTTTGGAAGAATCCCGTATCGGCCTCCCCAGCTCGCCCGGGCGTAGAGCACCCTCCCTGGATAATCCATCCGCCATCTCACTTGTGACAGAAGTCGCTCCCTACATCCGCTACATCGTGTCTCACGATCAACGACTTGAGCAGGTTCGAAACGAACTGCACGGGTCAAGTCAGCAAGGGATAAAGAGACAGCGGCGTACAAGAGCAGCAAGGGCAGCCTTGGAAGGCGGGAACAAGAAAACAGTAAGAAGAGATAAGTGGTTCCCCGAAGAGTTGGACTGGGCTGCAGTGATGAGGACAGGAAACGAGTGGCCTCAAGCCAGAGAGGCGGACACATGGGACAGTTCTCCTGCTCAAACACCTAGTTCGTCAGCGGGAATGGAAGCGGGAGCCGAAGCCGACGAACCTGCATTGTTCAATCCCTGAGACTTCGCGGTAGAGGAGGACAAGCTAGTCACTTTTAGTTTGTCGGAGGTGCAACAAACAAGTTATCGGTCTCTTGCACCGCGGGAAGCATCAAGGGCGTCGGTTTCAAGCGACCGATCGGGGGCTGCACTTTTCACAAGGGAAGTGTCGTGACATTACGAGGCTGGCCAGATACGCGTCGCATCAAGAGGTAGCACCGCTGCGTACATATCATACACATTACATACCCTAGGTAACAAAGTACATTTACACAAAATCATGAAAATCTCACAATGACTTCCAAGTTTGAATACCTATACCGAGTACAAGTACCAACTTCGGCTCACTCCACTCCAGTCCTGCGCTTGTAGTCACTCATGATCACGTGGTGTACGGAACAAAGCGGCCCCTTTTTCGCCACAGCCTCGTCTCCTCTGACGCTCAACCTGGCGATAAGTTTATCACACAAGACCTTCCACAGCCAGGCACCTCTCACCTGTCGGCATATCGCAGACACGGCTAGTTGACGAGCAATCTGGAGTTGTCCCTCCCTCCCTTCTGCTGTTGGCTGTCTATCGTGTCCCCGCACAACCGGCACAGTCTAAGGCTGCGAAATTGGGCGAGCGTTTATCCTTCGAAAGAACCACATATTTACATCACTCCGAAGTCGTCAACACTATTTGTCAACGAGATGTGAGAGGAAGTGACACAGGCAACAGGCCGTATGTTAACTGAATGCATTGTGAGTTCAGTCTCTCAAGTAACTACATGCTAGCTAGCGAATACAAACTGTCAAGACTTAGACCGATCTCAGCTCCTCCTCCTACACCTGTATTATCAACATATTGCCTGACCCATGTTTTTCCTTTCATCGATACACCATGATGAATGTCTTGCTGTACATGAGTAATGAATGCCGTCTCTTTTCATGCTTTGTATATGTTGAGGTGGCAAAAATGCATGCTTCAGGGAATGAGTGCGCATGCTCGAGGCAAGAATGAGCAAAAGGAATCAAGATGGATAGTACCAGCAGACCAAGAACAAATGCACGCCAAAAATTGTTGGAAGCATGCGGGAACAGATGTCCTTGGCGGCGTTGGCGTAGCTGGCTCATTTGCAAGATTGCGGAGTGGTGGCGGTGTAGTTCTCCTTGCCGCTGGCTGGCTCAATTCTAATGGTGACCTTCTTTGGACTTGGAGTCTTGGTCTTCTTGCTGATGTTTCCATTGTCTGGGATGATTGCAATTGCGGCCGCAGACTTTGGCGGGACTTCAATGTAAGGATGGGCTGCTGGAAGATTGGTCCTAACAGTGGTGGAGTTGGTAATCGACTGCAGTCCCCCCTGCATTGGCCAAGTCGACGTGGAGTTGCGGATCATGGTCGCAGTCTTGTTGTTGACACCCGGAAGCTCACTGCAGGATGCGTGGTTAGTTGGCTGAAGGACCAAGGAGCTTGGGCAGCAAGGCCAGACTTACGGCGGAGAGACTGACGTCGCTGGAGTGAAGCCATTGGTAGTTCCAGCCGGAGACTGCCAACTGCCATTCGGACTGATGTGGTTGTTCACGTTCTGCAATCGAGACAGAGTTGGAGATGGAGTGTGTTCAACCGAGTAGCTGTATTCGCGGCTGCGCCAGTTGCGACGTTCTTGACTCTGTTGTTTGAGCTGCTTCTGAGCTTTGGTGTCGGCAAAGCGGAGGAACAATTTGATGCCATCACGCTCGTTGAGGACAGAGTGGAATTCTTTGATGACACGTTCTGCGATCTCACGTGTTTCGAATCTGTGACAATCAGACAAGTTCACGCATATGGATCCAAGCATCTTTCAATACCTTGCAAAGCCAACTTCCTTGCTGACTCCGGATGGTGCATCGCGGCAGATCTTGGTGGAGACGGCGTGATACGGCAAGAAATGTTTGGCCAGATCCTGGATAGGTTGGTAAGTAGAAGCTGTAAACATGGTGGGAGAACTCAAACTGATTCATTCCAATCAATAGGAACCCCGGTGCAATAAATGTTGGTAGAGTTCTTATCCTCCAAGTCCTTGAGTCGGGAGTTGCGAGATTTCTGGGATTGTTAGAGGACCACGACATAGTAGGGCAGTGCTACATACCTGAGCATAGCTGGCTTGAAACCCAAGATGGAAGAAGCCACGGATACAGTTCTCTGCAGCAGCGGGAGAATAGTACATGACGAACCCAAAGCTGGACATTGTTAGCAAGCACAACACTTGGGCGGGGCAACATACCCTTTGCATTTTCCCGTGTCCTGCTCGATGATGGCCTTGCATGACTCGATCTCACCAAAGCGAGAAGCCCAACGTTCAAGATCTTCATCGGTGGTGTCCGGCATGAAGCCACGAATGTAGACGTTGGTAATGCCCTCGGGATTCTGAAGACATTTGGCCAGGCTGAGTTCCTCCTGGTTGGTCCACATGGCGGGCACTGCACGAGGGATCTGTGGGTCACGGTTGACGAGCTCATCAAGGTTGACCATCTCGTAGGATTTGTTGTCTTGACACTTCATTGGTTGAATGGGCCCAGCAACGTAGTGTTGGCTGGCAGGAGTGGTCGACAGGTAGGCCATGGAGTTGTAGTAGTCCGATTGACCCTGCGGCGCCACATTTTGGTTGTTGGAAGCATTCTCTTCATTGGAAGACCAGGATCCTCGACGACCTGGATCAAACCCGGCAACATTGGAGGCAAGATTGTACGGCCAACCATATCCTGGGAGAGCACTTGTTGCCATGCTGGTATTTCCGATGAAGCTCGGAAACATACCAGTGGGGACGTAGGGCAATTGGGAAGCATCTCCAGCTGAGGTCTGGTTCTGACCGTAGAAGTTGGGGAGTGGCACGGCTTGACCAGACGGCAACATCATCAAAGGGCTGTTGTATCCGGGACGATTGACTGCATTCATCTCAGTCTCGACCGAAGCAGAGGGTGGCAGGGTGGCCTTGAGGTTCTGCATGTTGGAAAGGGGATTGGAGTTGGTCATGTTCATGGCTGTTGCATGGTGAGGAATTTGTGCCTCAGACAGTGACTCCAGCTCTTACCTCCATTGTACTGTGGATAGCCTGATGCATTGTACGGCATTCTTGACTGATGATAGCCAGCATATGCATTGCTTGAGACCGACTGGGTTGCGGGCTTGTCAGACATGGCTGCTGCAGTCTGGATCTCACTGATTAGTATCCTTCTGACAGTAAGGCACAGGCATCACGGTGGAGAAGCCTCCTGAACGGACAGACTCGCCTTCAATCTGTCACCACGAGAGGGGCTTCAGACCACGCCTCTTTGTGGTTCTTCCGAGGGTGTTGTTTAGAAATGGGATGGGGCCCGATGAATAGAGCAGCAAAGGGGGAAATGAGAATGAGCAACCAAGATGCAGTGGAGGATGGATGATAAGAGGGAGGAGAAGCTAACAGCAGGGAACTTGAGCAAGCAAAGCTGTAGCCTTTGTATTAAGAGAAGTGAGATGAAGAAAGTAGAGGAAGAGGAAGAAGAAAATGAAGCGAGTGGATAGAAGAGGAGGGGAGGAGGGAAACTCGTTGAGGTGGGTGCATCCGTGGTCTCGGCGGCAGGAGCAACGACAATAGTCTGGGTAGCCTCCACCGGTGAATAGGCCAGCACGATCAATGGCAGTAGCGGTATTCGAATGGACCCCAATGCATATTGTACTCATGTCCTTAGAGGGCATCAATAGAGAGCCATTCAATACTGCCACACCTCTTGGATCAATTCGACTCCACAAGACGACAACAACATCCTCATGCAAACATGCTGACGGCCAAGAGAGACTCTCTTGTGTCTCTCCCATCTTGAGAGCAGCATGGGCCAAGAGCCACAGTTAGCCTTTGTCCTTGCAGTCTTAACCGCGCCCTCTGGGCATCAGGACCGCGTGTGTCTTCTTCGCCAGGTCCTCTGGACTATGTGAGTACAGGACCTGCAGGGCGCGTGCACATCACGTCTGAGTGAGCAGGGCAATGTTTCCCCATGTCTTTATTCTGCCATCTCTGAGTGGGTTGACTTCTGAAGAACCTGTGATGGTAAGTTGGAAGACAAAGGTGTGACGTGAAGTCAAAGATCAGGCATGCAAACGGCGGAAGGGTGTATGCTCTGCCGTAGCAACTTCACCGAAAACTACGGTGAATCTACTGTCCCATTCTCACATTTTCGGTATTGGAGAAATCAAACTGTTTGAACTATTTTCTCTACCAAAAAGCCAAACTCGTCTATACACTTTACTCTCCAGCTGGGCGCCGGACTGTACCTTCAGGATGGACCCAGATGTCGGCGAAAAAACATGGCAAAAAGTAGGTGGAAAGTTCAGACAACTGCCTTTGCGTACAAGACTGACCCAGGGCCACAGTTCTTCTATCAGCACAATTCGCTCCTAGCCTTGCTCGACGCTCACGCTTCCCTGTTGGCGGAGATGCGAAAATTCTGTCTTGACAATAGTGCTACTATGAACCTGGTGCAAGAACGTCTTAACACCACTGAGAGTCTGATTGCAACGTTCAAGCTTTCCACCGAATCCTTGACCGAAGTCACTAAGCGAGAAGAGCAAGTCACCGAGGATGCAAAGGTTCCCGAGCCGGAAATCCTCGACATCCCAATCCCTACTTCTACTGCTGGCCAAAAAGCCCCCACGCCTGCTGAGCCACTATTGGATCCCAGCGGCTTTTTCGCAGTCGACACAAATCCCACTCCAATCGAACAACTCTACAAAGAGAAGCCTATTGTCGCAGTAAAGGCGAGGAACGGTCCCAAGCGGAAAGTTTCTGGGGAGCAGATACAACCAGCCACAACATCTGAAAACGAGCGCATGCGGAAGAGACCAAAACATGGCGAGGACCAGCGAGATAACCCGGTACAAGAGGAAGAGGACGATTCTTTCCTGAAGAGAGTCGAGGCACGATCACGGGCGAAGGAAGAGCGCAAAAAGGCCAAGACGGACAAGAAGCGCAAGAGACAGAGCGGTGATTCCACTGGGAGTATCAAGGGCCCCAGGACCAAAAAACGGAAGGAAAACAACGATCCAAAACCCGTAACGACGACACCTTCTTCAGCGCCCTCAAAGAATCCACAGCCGCAGAAGGGCAAGAGACCTCTACCCGAGTCAAATAACAACAGTACAAACGGACGAGCGAGCAAGAAGAAACGCCGAGGGTCAAAGCATTAGGTGAAAGGAGATTGCCCAAGAATGTTGTATCACGCTTCAAGGATGAGGAACAGTTGCATACTGATACTTTCTTCGCCTTTTCTTCCCGGAGAATCGCAACGATAAACGCTGCGCATGCCTCCGGCTCACTGTACACTGTATAAATTCATGTTGTGTCGCCCAACTCGAACAACTCGAACTTGACACTATCCCCTCCATACCCCCAACCGGGCCAATCTCCGTTTTCCCGCTTTTCTGTACGACCTGAGCAGTTGGCATAAAATGGGCGAATCGGTCGAGTTTGGAACGTCAGAGGCAACCCAACTGAATTCTGAACCAGGTACCCTGGCTCGAAATTCCGCTCTTCTCTAACTTGCATGCGAGTTGCTAGATATCATCCACCGACCATAAAACTACAGTCCAGGATCAACTGCATTGAATTTACACACCAATTTTCATGCAACGGTTCAGGCCATGCTACGATAACCCTAAGCCTTCTCCCTGTCGTCGACTGGAACAATCGACGCTCATCGTCACGACACCAAACTTGAGCTTTTCACACGGTAATCTGACCGAACCCGTCACCGGAGAACAGACATCCACGCCATTTGAATCAGACAGACCACACACCGACAGATATGAGCGAAGTGCACAAACCACGGCTTGTAACCCGCGTCTTTCCGCCACCAATAAAGGTCACCTATCCAAAGGTGGATATGGCCAGCGTGACCACCGGCCATGTGGCGAACAGGCCTCAAATGACCCCATTCCACAGACGGACCGGTGCTGCACGCGTTCCTATCATTCTCAGCGCCGGCGAGGCGAAACAGCGCCACGAACAGACGGAACTCAGCGAAAGAGCCCGTGACGAGGTACTGAAACACGGCGTTAAAGTACGTGATTTCCAGGCTGAGGCGGATGCAAGGAGGTACGGCCAAGACTGTGCTGGGCATGAGGCTGGTCGGGGTACGCCAATGTCGGGTTACAAGCACGATTAGACAGTGTTGTGGATGATCCTTGTATCGAGTTTCTGCGAGCCGGGCGGTGATGTTGAGGTACCGCAGACGATCTGCCGACCTCGTGCTTCGCGCCGTGTCTCAAAGGAGATGTCCTACTTGTGGATGGAATCTCGAATTCGTATCAAATCGCACCTCGGGTTGTAGACCACAGGGCAGATAGGACAAAGGCAAGAATCGAAGTCCTTCAGCCCCGGTCATTTTGCTTCCGCACCACTTCCTCGTCCCTCTCTTTCAACTCGTCGGCATTCTTCTCGCCTTGGTTCCAGACTTCCCATATTTGGTCGACAATCATGTTCCCATAACCTTCACCCTGCTCGAGTTTCTCCTGTTCTTCTTTCAACCGGCGTTCTTTCCAATCCTCGTTTTGTCTATTCGCCCAAGCTTCACGAGCTTTGATTTGTAGAGCAGAGGACCCATTATCCCCTGCTATTTCTGGCACCATGTGTTCGTGGCGTCGAAGCTGTTCTCCATGTGCTGAAGCAGGAGTCTCCAGATCATGGAGGGGAGTCCGTCCAATGTCGAATCTCTTGGACGCGTGACCCATGTACCCCAGCCCCGTGCGCTCACGGAGTTGGTAGTTCGTAGCCCCGAGAAACGCACCGGCCAATGAGAAGGTATAGAGATCCAATTTGCGCGGTGGGAGGGCGATCAGGGCGGGTGCGAGGAAACATGCCGCGAGCGTCGAGGTGTGCAGGAAGCTCTGGTAGTCGTCGAATAGTTTCTTGCGCTGGGCAGGATCCTGCTCGGGCCCGGAATCGGAGGGTGCCATGACGGCTGGAGAAAAGATCCCGAAAAGGAGCACGGGGGGTGCGAGAAGGCTGGGTTAGCAGCTGCTGTCGTACTTCATCTGCATCCCATACTGATTGCACATGATATTTTCAGCAAGTCGCTCAGATCATAGTATTCTTCGCCATCAGCTCGAATGCTCCGACGGACGAGTCTGGGTCTGTAATGAGGCCAAGTGTGATGTCATTAGGAGCAGCTTTAATTTTCATATCATAATATTGTATGATCAAATTTTAGCAGAATTATGTCCACGTGTCTGGGTCAAAGATTTTCAGGCCGTTACAGACAGTTTGGCCGAGTGGTTAAGGCGGCAGACTCGAACGGGCCTCTTGAAAATCCTTCTAGGCTCTCCGTTATCTGCTGGGTTCGCCCGCACAGGTTCAAATCCTGTAGCTGTCGATTTTGTTTTTGTTTGGTTTGTCATTGCGAAGTCCTATTTCCTGCTATGCTCTTTTTTTCCTCCACATGCCGTTACCGAGAGCCTGAAACAGAGGTGATTGAGATCAGTTGCGCTAGGAAAGATTTATATTCAAATTCACGGGTTGGAGGCAACGAGATGGAGTGCAAAATCATGACAACAGGACCTACGCAGATGATCAGGGAAGATGGAGACAGGTGAGATAGAACTGAATGGTATTTGCTACATATGCAAGCCTCCAGTGCGTCCAACAGAGACTGTCTTTGCATGTTCGCTATACCTCGCCTGGCAGCCGACCAGCCAGGACAGAAAATGGCAGAGTGGACAAACAGGTGGAAGGAGAGGGAGTTGCCCCTCCCCAGCACCAATTCTTTCTGCTCGCTGTATTTCACAAATCATGATGGCGAACGTACAAAATCCACAGGGGAAGGATACAGTGTGCCACGGAATTGACAAAAAAAATGTCTTGCGACAATCATATGGGTAAAAAATGTGGGTTATCTTCGAATTGAAAATCGACGGACAGAAAGGGAGGAACATGTCGCTGCTCAGCAGCACGGCGAGCGAAGTCAATCTCCACCACTCGAACCATGGGAGATGGCAAGCGATCTCCTCACGCCCGGCGAGAGCGTGATTCCTTGGTTGGGATCCAGCGGCCGCGACGCGAAGGCATGTCGAAGATGATATCGTCAGAGGGTGCCTGCACCTCCCTGGTCGCCGCCATTGCGAGGGGACACGCTATTGAACGACGCATGAGTACATTTGAGCGGACATTTTGATGGGTATTTGATAGAATGCGACCCAGGGTTTTTGCCGTTATCGAGCTTGGGGCTGTGTTTGGGAAGATTGAACGCAATGGCACCCGTCTACTGGACGATGCAGCTGTACATTTGGGCAGACATTTTGATGGTGTTTGATGGAAAGTGTTGAGGCTTGTTTGTGGAGGTACTGAGGAGCTGAAAGGAGTGACTTGTAGTTGGACGTGAATGAACGTGTGTATGGCAGAGACAGATTAATCAGAGTGAAATGCAATATAAATACTGTACCTAATATACTGCATAAAGACCAAAATACTGAAAGCAAGCAGAAAGAGATCACGCTCTCATACCCCAAATCGGTAGCTGATGGCTGGTAATCACCGCCACACAAAGGCCGGGCAGCAAGGCTGAGCAGAAGGGGACGAGGCTTAATTATTGTTCTCCCTTAGTATTGTTCTTTCCACACAAAGCGTTGGAATGTTGAACTGTACACACAACCAAGCTATTCCCGGCATAGGAGGAGAACAAACGGAGTCTCGACGTGGATTTCTGGCGTGGTCTGGGTTCGTCCACTCTCACAATGGTATGTGAGTTGCAACAGGTCGGTTCTTGTCTTTGCCCATACATATTTCGAGTCTAAAAGCGAGTGAATGGAAGCCACTTGCCTCGAAGGGTAATTTTCGCCTTGGTCGAGTCAGCCCAGAGCTAGAGTAAAGTGCGAGATCAATCTTACCCATGTAACGCCATCCTTGTCAACCTCTTTTTCAACGTGAGTGGAGAAAGATATTGCGCTCATGATCCCGTCGCCAAACTTCTCGTTCAGAACTGCTTTATATGCATATCCATAATTCTGCACAATCTCGTACAGGCGGTAGATCAGCGGTTCCTTTGGAGGCATCTCCACGCTCTTTCCGCGGTCTGGAAACCCGCTCAATTGTGCCTCAAGGGTAGCATGGTCAATGCCAAAATAGTTCGAGAGCTTCTCGATATCTTCTGGGGATGCCTTTGCTTGCCCATAGAACAGAGCCGCCACCGCGACCTCATCTCGGCCAATTTCCTTGCCAATCGTTTCAAAGGTCACCTTCTTTTGCGCCTTGGCTTCGAACAAAGTTACGGAGGACTTGGGGAGGTTTGGATGTTGCGACACCTGGTTATGTCAGTTGCTATCCTGCGTTTGGCCTCAGGGCACAAAAGCTCACATCCAGAGTTGCGAGAGACATGTTGGAGGCTGGTCGGATCAATTGCGACGGGGTCAGTCTGACGTGGCGCAACACAGTGCTCGGCCTTGACCTGAAAGCTGTGGAAGTGAGACGTTGTAGAGGACGCAGAGGCAGAGACATAATGAGATGCAAAGGACACTGCAGTTAAATAGCCAATCCACAAAGGACTCTTGTGGAGATGTGCACCTGTCAATACTTGTATTTCTGCTTGGTAGAGGGGCCTTGAAGCTGCCCTCCCCGCATCAACCATCATCCGGGAGAATTGCCGTCATCTCATTGCGCGGTTTAGCATCACCGTTGGTCCGAGAAGGTACATCACGCCTAGCGTTTCCAGGTGTTGCAGGGTCGCTGAAAGAGAGAAGAGAGCATTCGACATGTGGCTTCATTCGGGGTGTGTCTGTACCAATGCGAAGGACGCGAGTCTGTGAATCGAGGAGGAAATAGCCTGGTGCTCCCAGAAGCAGCATCTTTCAACTGCCATCTGTAGCCAGGGGCAGCTTTGTCAGGGGTGCTCTGTTTTCGCGGGGCCATGAGGCGCAGCAGCTCTGAAACCAGTTTCTTATTGGGGCCACGGTTATTGTGGAGAGTTGTTGCGAGGACGCTGACTGCAGCCTGGTTGGGCTTCTACCATGCACCCAGAGAACCCGGCACCCTCAAATCCAGCTTGGCATGTGCTTCACTTGCTTGACACGGCATGAATCAGCTGAAACTTCAGTCACTCGCCCTGACTGAAACAAATTCCTCCATGACAATGCAGCGCGTTTGAGTTCACCGCTGGATACCCCTAGCGTTTCCGAAGTCTTGAGGGTAGTCCTGTGGTCGCCATTTGTGACCTCCTCCCTCTCCCACCTTTTGGAGTCGAGTGCCGGGTAAAAGTACACGACTAGTTACCATGTCCTACCAAAATCAACCGGATGACGACGGCCTCGCATACGGAGACGACTACTCGCAGTCTCGCGGGAGGGGTGGACAAGATGGCACTGATCGGTCAATGCTGGGAGACACATTCAAAAAGTTCAAATCCGAGCTCGACAAGTACAAGACTGGTGGTTCTTCTTCGCAGAATTATGGCTACTCGGCCTCCGCCTCCGGCTCGAACCAGCAGTATTATGGGCAACAAGGTCCTGGTACAGGATATCCCCAGGTCGGTCAATCTGCCTATCCGGGAGGCCCGCCTACTCAACAACCCCAAGGTCGGCCTGATTTGACGTCGAAACTCTTTGATGGGTTGCATAGTACTCTTCATAACATCGGCTCAGATGTCACAAACTTGTTAGGGTCTGGCAATCGACCCCCTACGCAATATGGACCGCCGCCCCCAGGACAGGCCAGTTACGCAGGTTACCCTGGTGTGGCAGTTCCGCAAGGCATCCCGTCAGGTCCAAACCGCTACGACAGCTTCGCTTCAGAGAAGGCGGGTAATGATGTCAAGTGGTATGTCGACGGATGTGGCTATTTCTGGGCAGTTAGTCAAGCACTCGAAGGAGCAAAGCACTCGATTTGGATCCTGGATTGGTGGCTATCTCCTGAGTTGTACCTTCGTCGGCCACCCACTCAGAATGAACAGTGGAGGCTGGATCGAACATTGCAGCGGGCAGCACAACGTGGCGTCAAGGTCAAAGTGATCGTATATAAAGAGGTCACTCAAGCTTTGACTCTTTCGTCCGCACATACGAAACACGAACTGGAGAAGCTACATCCCAATATCGCAGTCTTTCGTCACCCAGATCATCTCCCAGATGCTCAAACTGCTCAATCGTCCCTGATATCGTCTCTCCAAGCTCTAAAGCTTGATGCTGCAGGTATTTCTAAGCTTGGCGCAGATACTCTCAAGGGAATTTATGGCGTGACGGACGATGTCGTTCTCTACTGGGCTCATCATGAGAAGTTGTGCTTGATTGACGACAGGATCGCGTTCATGGGCGGCCTGGATCTCTGTTTCGGTAGATGGGATACAAATCAGCACTCAATTGCTGATGCACATCCTTCGAACATCAACGATATCATCTTTCCTGGCCAGGACTACAATAACGCCAGAGTCATGGACTTCAGCGATGTTGCACAACCGTTCCAGAACAAGCTCGACAGGACCAAGAGCTCGAGGATGGGATGGTCGGATATTGCCATTTGCCTGCAAGGAGCCTGCGTCCAGGACCTTCGCCACCACTTCGTCGATCGTTGGAACTTCATCTTCGACGAGAAATACAATGTCCGCAAAGACCAACGCTACTACAGACTACTTGACGATTTCCCTCACCCACCGACTGGTCCAGGTCAGCGACCTCAACCACGTCCACAGTCTCAAGGGCAACCCCAACCTCCTGCCCCGGTTGGTGGATTTGCACCACCTCCCGGAAGCCAACCATACACGGAACCGGCGTGGCATACAACCGGCAGGCCACACACACCGACGCCAGGCCAATACCAAAGCCAAGCGGGAACAGACACCGGTGCATATGGTGGTGCGGCAATTGCTTCTATCTCGGGCACACAAGTTCACCAACAGCCTTCGCAGGGACAGTATGGTCAAACCACCCCCTCTGTTGGCCAAGGAGTTCAACCACCAAATCCAATCCAAGCTCCGCCTCAGACCTCTACAGGTACCTACGGCCAGGTGCCTCCACCTCCGCCGCAAGCACCATCGCAGACTTCCGCTGGGGTCTACAGCCAAACTTCTCCCCCTCCCTCGCAGGCATCGCATCCAGCTTCTTCTGACCCCTACAGTCAAGTGTACAGCCCTCCACCACAGGCAACTCCACAACCAGCCACAGGTACTTACGGCCAAGTCCCCAGTCCCCCACCGCAAGTACCCTCAGTTCAGCAACCAGTGAACACTGGGGCGAGCTATCAACAACCACCGACCCAGGCTTTTCCACAGAGTTTCCCTCCTCCACCTCCTGGACCACCTCCCCAAACATCAACCGGACCGACTCAGACCTATCCAGGATATCCGCCACCGCCCAGTGCAGAGCCTGCTTATGCTCCCTATCACCAAGGCCCGAC